TTTTTTCACTATTTATATTCTTCAATATATGAGGTTTAATTTGATATACATATCGATGTAATTTAATTAAATTCAATTCGATAAATACTTCGGGGAAATCGTTACCACTTATAAAGTCAATACCTGTAGTTTGTAAATGACATAGCATTTTCAAATAATAATAGTTTTACATTACGATTACTATAAATTCCTAATCGAGTTATTATCACTAAGCCGATAAATCACCTTGCTCAATTTAATTTCAGCTATCAGTGCGTTAATCTCCGCCTCGGGATCATTGCGTTCACAGCCCTCGACATAACGTAAGCCGTGATCGCCATAAGTGTTGTACACGTCGTGAGTCTCGAGCTCTAGTAGTTGTGGCTTAAACTCAACGAGAAAATAAGCCCACGCCTTGATTGAGGTGCCGTCGGCCGTAAGCACCTGTACCTCCAGGCGCCGGTAAAATCTTGGATGACCCTCAAAGTCGTCCATTTTGTCCCTCATGTTTTTATCAACCGAGTATAATTCGCCGTATATTTTCTACATAATTATTAAAAATGAACATGTTAATTATATTTTACATTTATAAATAAAATACATATATTTGCACAATATCTAATATAATGTTAACAATAAATAATTTATATTCAATAACTTACCTTGCCACAATGTTTTTTATACAAAAGGTATGGCACGTTATATTTGGATGCGATCACTAACGGCCACTTGTTCGCCGTTTCAGCTGTACATATATAATCGGCAACACCATTATCAGGGTCCTTTAATATATAGTGATTTGGTTGACCTAGAACAAATTAGTTTATTAATACAATATATTAATTATCATAACAAATATAAAAATAACTATTTAATGTACACTTTACCTGTTTTAAGTGTGCCGTAAACAAACACAATATGTCTATCAATAATATCAATCATTCTTTTGCACAAAAATATAATTGTAAAATTAAGAGATACTGTATGTATTTGACACAATCAAATAGATTTATTTAATTTATATATTAATTTATAAGCTAATAACTTAATCAAATATAATTTGTAGATTGCCGTTTTCAAATAGTAAACAGATTATGAATTTAGCGCTATTTATATAAAAATTTTATATTGTATTGTATTGTTTATACTGTATTATTTTTATAAACATATAGTTATGTAGTAATATGTTAATTTGGCTAAAAATAAAGCCTGTCACTCATCATGTTTATTATAAACGGGCTGATACTTTTACGTTAGCCGGTTATCATGATGAGTGTCAATAATTTTATCAAGACTGACTGACAGATGTATGTAAACGACTAGAATATAATATATCGCAGTGTATTACGAGTGCGCAAACGTCGTGGTCAATTGCACTGTACAGTTCTGACGCACTTAATGTTTTGGCATGTTGATAATCTTGTTTTTACATTTAAGATATAAATAAACTTTTTGCCCATTATGATAATTAAGTGTATAGGTAGTTTTTGTAGCGCCTAGTTAAGCATAATTTTTGTTTCACAATTTTAATTTTAACTAATGCAATATTTATTACTTATTGGCATAAGTGCAATAAGTTATTGCACTTATGCCCTGGACATTTTCTATGCATTGATTTTATAATTTATAATTAATAAACAATTTAAATAATAAATTAAAATTAATAAAATCTATTTAATATTTTATTATTTTAATATATATTATAATTTGTAATTTAAAAATAACAATCAAATAAGTGGCATCACAATGAGCTATTATATTATGTAACTCAATTTATCAATTATCATATTCAATTGTATTACGTTATTGCAAGCATGTAAAATGTTTAAGGTTATATTTAAAGTAAACCCCAAAAATAAATAATTATTATTTTAACCATATAAAATATTATTATGAACTACAATAGAATAAATTAATTTCTAATACGATAGACATTGCTCAATTTAATTTCAGCTATGAGTGCGTTAATCTCCGCCTCGGGATCATTACGTTCACAGCCCTCGACATAACGTAAGCCGTGATCGCCATAAGTG